CAGCTTAAGCAAAAAGGTTAATTTTAATAAAAATGAATGAGCAAATATTTTTTTAAAAAATCCTTGGATATATCCATCAATAGGACAAGGATAACCATGGCATTATTTTTCATACTCATGTGATTAAGAGAATATTATAACAAGATTTGCTAGCGATGGACTTATGAAATGTGTTCAATAAGAATCAATCACTAAATCAAACCATACTTTAAATTAAAGCATTTTTTCTGATTTCTCCATTTCCATATCACCTTCCAAAGATACTTTGTTTTGAATCTGAATATTACTCTCTCATGTATATATAATGTCAACAATCACAACATTACAATGGCAACTCAGCATTCTTGCTCATCATTTTGTAACAAGGTATATCGATAAATAAACAGCTCTGTGAGTGGAAAAGACATTTATAAAGATATGTAAGTATTGACCTAGAACCATTATATAGATGCTAATTCTAAGGAAGGGAATTGAGAAAATATAAGTATTTTATTTCTAAGGAGAAACACCAAACTATGGTAAAGTAAGCATTAAAAGTAAAGTAATGCATTTATATATACACATATATAGGTATACATATATATGGAAAGGATATATATATATCCCTACAAGAAAAATACCTACAAGAAAATCAATGCTTGTATATTTATACCTGATCTTGCTCAAAATTAAAAGACATGTGACATTAAAATGCTTTCTACAAAATAGCAAAACAATATCAATTACTAGCCTGTGAGAAAGCAGTAAGAAAGTTAAAATATGAGCACACTTGACCATCTAGAATTAAGTGAAATGTTACATAAAAGATAATTATCTTTTTCTGCAAGTCAATTGAAAACAGAAATAGAAAGAACCTGCTTCACACTCTAGCATGAATGATATAGATTTGATTTGAGAAATAGCTTTCTTAGCCGGGCGTTGGTGGCGCACGCCTTTAATCCCAGCACTTGGGAGGCAGAGTCAGGCGGATCTCTGTGAGTTCGAGGCCAGCCTGGGCTACCAAGTGAGCTCCAGGAAAGGCGCAAAGCTACACAGAGAAACCCTGTCTCGAAAAACAAAAAAAAAAAAAAAAAAAAAAAAAAAAAAAAGAGAAATAGCTTTCTTTCTGACAGTGGATTGAAATAGCTCACTATATCTTATTTGAAGATATTAAGAAAGAAAATGGAATCTTATCTCTTTCAGCTCCCAAAGGGAAAGCCTGATTTAAAAAAAAAAAAAAGGTTGCCACAGAGTAGGATTAAAAATGTGCCCTCTGTCCAGGAGAAGTATATTTGAGTCTGTGGTAGACTTATTCCCAGTTTTCTGAGAAACCACCACACTGACTTTCAAAATGGCTGTACAAGTTTGCACTCCCATCAGTAATGGAGGAGTGTTCTCCTTACTCTACATCCTCTCCAGCATAAGCTGTCATCAATGTTTTTGATCTTAGCCATTCTGACAGGTATAAATGGGATCTCGGAGTCGTTTTTATTTGCATTTCCTCAATGGCTAAGGATGTTGCACATTTCCTTAAGTGTTTCTAGGCCAATTGAGATTCTTCTGTTGAGAATCCTCTGTTTAGATTGGTACCTCATTTTAATTGGATTATTTGGTTTGTTGATATATAGTTTCTTGAATTCTTTATATATAAAAACTTCAACTACATTTACTTTTTTTGAAAATAATCCCTCTGATTATGATATGGGGTTGGTGAAGATCTTTTCCCATTCTATAGATTGCTGTTTTGTTCTATTGATGGTGTACTTAGCCTTACAGAAACATTTCAATTTCATGAGGTCACATTTATTAATTGTCGATCTTAGTGACTGTGCTATTGGTGTTCTGTTCAGGAAGTTGTTTCCTACGCTAATGCAATAGACATTATTTCCTCTTTCTCTTTTATCAGATTCAAGTATCTGAATTTATATTAAAGTCTTTGATCCACTTGAACTTAAGTTTTGTGCAGGATGATAGATAAAGATCTATTTGCCTTCCTCTACATGCAAAACATGCAGTTAGACCAGCACCATTTGTTGAAGATACTTTCCTTTTTCCATTGTATAATTTTGCCCTCCTTGTTAAAAATCAAGTGTCTAAAGGTGTTTGGATTTACATCTGGGTCTTCAATTCTATTCCTTTGATCCACCTGTCTGTTTTTATCCCAATAGCATACAGCTTTTATTACTAGAGCTCTGTAGTAGAGGCACTAAGATTAAATCAGGAATGGTGATAGCTCCAGAAGCTTTTTTATTGTATAGGATTGTTTCAGCTACCCTGGATTTTTTATTATTCCGTATGAAGTTGAGTGTTGTTTTTTCAAGTTCTGGAAAGAATTGTGTTGGAGTTTTAATGATGATTGCATTGGATCCATAGATTTCTTTTGATAAGATGACCATTTTTACTATGTTCATCCTATGGATCCATGAGCATGGGAGATCTTTCCATCTTCTGAAATCTTTTTCAATTTCTTTTTTCAAAGACTTGAAATTCTTGTCATACAGGTCTTTCACTTGCTTGGTTAGAGTTAAACCAAGATCTTTGATATCTTGGGTGTTGATTCTCTCATTTCTTTCTCAGCCCATTTATCCTTTGTATATAGAAGGGCTAATGATTTTTTTTAGTTAATCTTGTATCCTGTCACTTGACTAAAGATGTTTATCAGCTGTAGGAGTTCCCTATTAATTTTTGGGTCTGCTTATGTATACTATCATTTACCTGCAAATAATGATACTTTGTCTTCTTCCTTTCCAAATTCTATCCCCTTGGTTTCCTTTAGTTGTCTTATTGGTCTAGCTGGAATTTCAAGTACTATATTGAATAGGTATGGTGAGAGTGGGCAACCTTGTCTTGTTCCTGATTTTAGTGGAATTGCTTTGAGTTTTTCTTCCATTTAGTTTGATGTTGGCAATTGACTTTTTGTATATTGCTTTTATTACATTTAGGTATGTCCCTTGTATCCCTGATCTCTTCAAAATTTATATAATGAAGGAATGTTGGATTTTGTCAAAGGCTTATTCAGCATCTAAGGAGAAGATCATGTGTGTGTGTGTGTGTGTGTGTGTGTGTGTGTGTGTGTGTGTGTGTTTAGTTTGTTTATATAATGGATTACATTGACAGATTTTCATATGTTGAACCATCCCTACATCTCTGTGATTCAGCCTACTTGGTCATGGTAGATGATCTTTTTGATGTGTTCTTGGATTTGTTTTAGGATGCTCAAACATACAAAAAGGACACTTGCTCAAGTATGTTCATAGCAGCTGTATTTGTAATAGCCAGAACCTGGAAACAACCTAGATGTCCCTCAACCAAGGAATGGATAAGAAAGCGTGGCATTTATACAATAGAGAATTAGTCAGTTGTTAAAAAAAAGAAAGAAAGAAATTTGCAGGCCAATGGATGGAACTAGAAAAATCATCCTCAGTGAGGTAACACAGATAAAGACAATCATATGTACTCATTCATGAGTGGATATTATCTGTAAGATAAAGGATAAGTATGCTACAATCCACAGATTCAGAGAGACTAGGAAACAAGGAGAGTTCATTGGGGGACACTCAGATCTCCCTAGGAAGGGGAAATAGAAGAGATTTTGTGAGTGGACTGAGGATGGGTGGGAATGGGAATGAGAACAATCAGGTTGGGGGTAGAGGGGGAGAGTACTGAGGGGGACTGCTGGTCTGGGATAGTTCAAGATCTGGTGGAAGCCTGGCGCAGGGGAACCTCCCAGGAATCTACAGGGAGGACCCCAGGTTAAACTCCTAGCAATAGCAGATAAGTAGCCTGAACTGACCATCTCCTGTGACCAGATTGGTGCCTGGCCCCACCGTCATCAGAGAGGCATCATCCACCAATTGAGGGAGACAGACACAGAGACCCACAGACAAACATTAGGTGGAGTTTGGGAACCCTATGGAGAAGGAGGAGAAAAGTGTGTAGGAGCCAGAGGCGTCAAAGGCTCACACAATCAACTAACCTAGGCTCATAGGGGATCCTAGAGACTGAAGGGACAACCAGGGAGCCTGCATGGGACTGACCTAGGCAATATTCATATATATATATATATAACAGTTGTGTAGCTTAGTCCTCTTGTGAGACACCTAACAGTGGGAACAAGAGCAGTCACAGACTCTTTTACTGGCTTTTGGGACCCTACTCCTCACACTGGGTCACCTTGCCCAGCCTTAATACACTGGGAGGTGCTGAGTCTTACTGCAACTTGATATGCCATGCATTATTGATACTCATGGAAGACCTGCCCTTTCCTGGATGGAGACAGAAGAGGAGGTGGTTGTGTGGGGAGAGGGGCAGATGCACGGGGAGAGACTGGGAGAGGAGGATCCGGGGGAGGTTGTAGCTAGGATGTAAAATAAATAGATGACTAAAAATAAAAATAAATAAATAAATAATAAATGAAATGCCACATTTGAATGACTGGCAAAGTCCTAGGTGCACTGCAGTTTTCAACGAATGTTAGTTCTCAGTTTTCCGTACATATAAAAATGCTTATAGTAAAAGGGCAGAAGGAAGGGCTCTCTGATAGTCCTTTTATTTTGGGTAGAATTATGATAAACTTACAGAAGCAATTCTATTCTTTATTTTTTATACTTCCCCACAACCTTGAAAAGATCATTTTTTAAAATGTATAATTAAAATCAAGAAAGACAAAAGAAAAATGAGGCCTCTGTTTCAGTATCCTTCATACTGTATGACTAATTGTGATCATATTTCCATTATGTTTTGGATTATAAATTCATACAGTTCTAAGAAGATTAATACTATACTTAATTACTTTCTCTTGACTTTGAAAGAAACAAATAAACTTAATATTTACACATCAGTCCAAAATGAGGCTATTTAGAAACTATATTATGCCTAATTTTTCAGAAATGATTGTCGTTATTGTGTTTTCTCTTTATAATTTGTCTTTATTCACATTTTGAAGCAACTGGAAACAAAGGTTAAGATCTAAACAATTATCTGAATGCAAACAGTTCCCTGGGAGAGAATTTGTATTTTACCTGATTTGTTAGACACCCAAATAATTGCCTCTGAAGACACATGGCTTCTATTTCCTACCACAATGGTTAATGGAATCTGCCACAGGTAACTGGAAAAAATAGAAAGCATTAAGAGTAAAAAGAGCTATATTAAAACAAAAGCAAGCAAGCATTGCGTATGTTCATTCTGTGCAAATTTCATTACTTTTTTGAAAAAAAAAATCAATCCATCAATCCATCCATCCATCAATGAATCAACCAATGAGCAAATAAGTCCCAGGCCTAAAGAATGTTTGCAAAAAGCAGACATATCTTCCCAGGGCCACTAACAAGATACTTGGTATCTAACAATTTTAACTTCAATGCAAAAGAAATTCCATAAGACAATTTGTCTTGCAAAAATGGATTTGCATTTTAGAAATAAATACAAGTAAAATCTATAAACTTGAGCTGCACTATTTATTGATTAAAATAGCTCTCTTCTATTTTTTTTCTGAATTAGACTAATAGATAATTCAGTAGTTTCCTCCATTTGCATATTACCATTGTCCTTATTTATTGCCTAACCAGTCTGAGGGGCACTATCCACATATTTTACAGAGAAATTAATATGGCACACCAAAGTAACTCGGCAAATAATAAAGCAAGAACAAAAATAATCAGTTTTCACTATATTTCAGATCTATATAAAGAATAATGTGGGGCACACTTCATGCTCTGTTTTCTGAAAAGAATTTCTAAGTGGATGTGACAATGAAGCCACCAACAGGAGGGGTCACCGAGGAGTCGTGGCTATTAAAAAGAAGCATTTTATTTCATTTACCTCTTCATAGCGTAAAAATTGAGGTCCTAGACTCATAGATGAAGTGATATCAATGTAATATTAAATGAGTAGCCAGACATACGTGGAATGATTTCACAATAAATCCATCAACTGTACTTTGTCTCCTTGAATTATAGACAAACTATTTTAACCTCACATTGTAACTCTGGTAAAAGTGGTAGCCAACACTTACATTATAGGAAGAGAAATACCTAAAATATAATAAGAAATTTTGTGCATACTCTAACCACTTTGTGAGTGAAAAATGTATTGGAAAGTTTTAGGAGAGAATGCCTGAGGTAATAAACTGTGTAATGAGTATGTCTGGGCCTCTGTGACTGCCTGTTTTCATCAATAGTTTTCATTTTACAGTAAATCAACATTTAATTCTAATTATTAGAGAAAGGCAGAAAACGTATGCATGTTTGAGTCAGGAGGAGAGAATTCTTTATTAAAAAAAAATAGTATCAGTGTTAAAGAAGGATCAGTATAAAGTGCTATTGTCAACTCAGAAGAGAAGGAAAGCCTGGCTGGTTTGGTGCATATGATTCTGTGTAGATAAGAGCTGCAAAGAGCAATTCAGAAGATGAGGAGACATTATGCAACATTGCAAAATAGTGATTTAATTTATTTAACAATGCCACAAAAATGTCTAACTGTCTAAGTAACAAGATTCTAGTACAAATGTCACCCTATGTCACACATCAGCTGACTATGAAATTTTTAGTTATATAAGGATCTTTCTATGCTGTGATACAAAGACTCTGTGTGAAAAATATAACTATTAGATGCATTAAAATGTTTTGAGCATATTGTAGTTATATCCCAATATCCTCAGGAAAAAATTAAAACAAAGAATTAACTCAACTTAGAAAATATGCACAACTTACTAGAAATTTTGGCATAGATGAGCAAGTTCTATTACATCAATGGAATACATTGTGTAGTAGAGTTAGGAAGGTTCTCTGCAAAGACCAAATAGAATTGGTATTGAATCTTTGACAAGAATGTCACAGAGAATTAGATGATCAATAATATAAAATTAGAATATTACATTTAAAGTATAGATTTTATTATTATTTAAATAGAAAATCATTCCTGGGACTAATGTGATGCTTTGCATCAGCATCACATGTCTTTTATATGTTCTGTGGCAAGTGCTCTTCCACATATTTTTGTAATTCTAGTAGATATAAAGCTCTGTTATTGCACATGTATACACAGCCCAGACTATATGTTTTCATTTAAAAGACCAGGCTCACAGGTAGTGTAACAGTGTATGTCACAGACTGACAAGTATTGTTGCATGAAATTTCTCCTGTCAACCTTTATGTGTTCTTTATGTTTATTTTCTACATTAGTGAAACTATATCAGGATAGCAATTCTCAGAGACCTGACCTGATCTCTCTCTAACTTTGCCACAGCAAAGTGCTTTCTGGCAAGCCAAGTTTGATGCCTGATGATGTTGACCCTGGACCCAGACAGTGAGGGAGTAACAGGAAGCAGTCGGTGCTGCAGACACCAGAAAAAAGGACCACAGTGATATGTGTTGCGAGAGTCCAGAGAGTTGGATGAGTTAGATGCAAAGGATGTATGTGTGGAGTGGAGGACTTAAGGCCCTGCTTTACAGGTTTACTGTTCAAGAAGACCTGCATTCAAATACCCAGCACCCACATAAAGTTGTAGTCCACACTTATAATAATCTCCATGCTCCTATGGAGACACAGGAGGCAAAGCCAGGACCATGGAATCCATACCACTTAGCTAGGCATACACAATGATGAATAAGAGATCCTGTCTCAAACAAGATAAAAAGTGAGGACTGGTACCTGGGATAGTTCTTTAACCTCCTCATATGCAGAATGGCGCACACAAACATGCATAGGCGTACATACAGAGATTAAACATACAGAGGCTCAAAAGAGTGACCCTGCTTTCCTAAATCAAATGCCAAATGCGTTCATCAGAAAGCGCCAATGACTTTCTCAACTATGGCTCTGTGCATCCATGCCTGGACCAAGCTGACTTGGCAGTGGTTTCCAGTCTTCCAAGGTGTATGTGCCAGGTCTCATGGATACTCAGGGTTAATAAGGTCAGATACCTAGTTTTCCAAAGCAACAAGAGAAAGCACAAGTGACCCAACAGAAAACTCTAACCTTCTTTACTAATTTCACCCCTCCTCTGTCCCTCACTCTGCCCCTCCCCCCCACCCCCTACAGTCTACTCTTACTAGAGCTTCTTGTAAGAAATGAAACTGACTTATAAAAGTTGGATCTTTCTTTGGCTCCGCCTTTAGACTAAGGAACAGAATAGAAAGCATGGAATAAAATAAATAAGAATTTCAAAAGAAAGTTAAAATAATGAATCAAGATTTCAGGCAGTTGCAATGGCTGGGCAACAAGATTTTTGTCAGTCATAGGCTAGCCCATGATGCATAGTGAGCCTGAGACCAGGTGGGCTACAGAGTGAGATCCAGTTTTGAGAAAAAAAAAAAAAAAGGAAAATTTTACATGCGTTATATCTAGTCAATGATCTCAAACACTGTAATTGAAAGGAAAAGAACATATGTTGGTCCTACACGGCCCCACTGAAGCTTGGATTATTTTAGGGTCTACATTATGTTCCTTTAACTCAAACATTATTAAGTACAGAACTTTGGTTTAATGAGTTTTTCTGGATTGTTAGTTTCGGTTCTCATTTGTCTTGTAAAGCACATTTTGGTTCAATTCCACTTAATTCATAGCAGCACGTTTTAACTATTGGATTTAATTCAAGAACTATTCGTAGAGAAGAGAAGATGCAAATCTTATCTTTGAAAGTCACCATGCTAATTCAAAGTCTTGCCTTCTGAAAAAAAAATGCCGTTATGCTGAAAGTTAAAATCTTGAGGGAGGCCTAGAGAGGAGGCTCAGTGGTTAGTAGCACTGGCTGTTCTTCCAAAGAACCCAGGTTTGAATTCCAGTACAAACATGACATCTAACAACTGTCTATAACTCCAATTCCAGGGGATCCAATGAGCTTCTGGCCTACTTGGACACCAGGCACTCACATGGTGCACAGATAAATATGCAGGCAAAACACCACACACATTAAATAAATAAACAAAATAGTTTTTCAGATATTGAGGAAATAGGAACAAAAGAAGAATCACAATGAAATAGCAAATAAATAGATTAAAATTATATTCCACTTACATTTCAGAATTTTTTCAACAGTAAATTAAATATTTCTCAAAATTTTTAAATGTAAAACAATCCTTAACAATATAAAATATTAGAATGCAAAGTGAAATATTAAAACTCACAATCCCCTTCCACGAGAACAAGAGTGTGGTACCTGTTATTCTGAAGTTGGAGTGCTTTGGTTTTAGCACTGATGTCATAAATGAAATGTTGTTGGGTGATAATTATTCTATTTTCTACTGTCATGTTTCCCAGGATGGTGATAACAGGATATCCCATCTGCAGTGTCCACTGATCCATTACTTCTTGTATGTTCACATATTTTCCATTCCTTTTTAAAGCCTTTGCAATCAAAATTGTATAAATTAATCTATTAACACTTCTTGTAAGCATAATTAACATTAATCTGTTCTCATTTTTACCATTACAATTTACCTCAATATGAAGACATTTAAAATCAGTGAAGCTAACATGATGTCCTAGTAAAATTAATCATCTTGCCTTGAGCTTCGTATATTGTTTTGTTCCATATATATGTACAGCTGAGTTTTATTAACATTAAGATTTTTACATAGCAGAATATAAAATGTAAGTCATTATTACAAGTACTTCTACATTATTTTGCATTTCTGATAGGTCTACTACCATGTAGTAAAAATTTTCTAAAATTTTCAATATTTCTGTTTTGAACATGAATCTATAATACCACATTAAAATATCATTCAAAAATATTGTCATGCTTCATGCACAAAACCTGTGCAGGATCATACCAGCCAAAATCCCAATGTGGACAGCAGAGGGGTGATCCCTAAGTCCTACCTTTAGATGAGGAGTTATTGGCAACTGGTGACTAATGGGAGAAAAGTCAAAATCTTCAAGAATGTGGCCCTAGAGGGACTACCCATCCCTATCTGCATCATATAGATGACCCTATTCCAAGTCCCATACTGACAGAAGTAAGTGGACTCAATGAGATTTTTAAAAAGCACACATGAAATTGGGATGGAAACATGATGGGGGAGAAGCGGGGAGGTTTTGAGGGAAAAGATTAGAGGTAGATTTGCTGACCCAAATAGATCATAGACATTTATAAAATTATCAATTAATTAAAAACAATGTCACTTTTCAAAACAGACAAGATATGTTTAACCAAAATTTGTAAGTCAAAGAATTTTAAAGCCTATCTTCTTTATATTAGATAAAAATAAAGCACTAAAGCAATATGAAAAAAAGAATTATATGAAGTAAATATAAACTGTCCATGTCAATAAAAGTTAATGTCTTATAAATGAAATTCAGTTGCTCCAGAAGATACTTTGACACTTCAGCTTTCTCTACTTTACCTCTGATAATGTATTCCAGAGATCATTTCTGGCTGCATTGCCATACTTGTGGATAGTTAAATAATCCTATAAGAATATAAAATTGTAATTACCATTCAAAGGTTAAGCAATTACCAGTAAACACATTTATTTCTCAATTCAATTAACCATTTCTGTGTGTGGAATTGCATTAAGGCAAAGAGGAAGACATGCTAAAAGATTTAGAACAGCATTTAAAAATATTCCCAAGAGTTTTAACTAGAGCATATTTCCCAAGTCACCCAACTATACTAATTTCTTAACAAGGATTTTCACAGCTATAATCACGTCTTATGGATGCCCAAGGTCAAGGATATACTGTAACTGAGCTGGTCAACATCAGCTCATTAGGAGAAAATGACCTCTGCAATGAAATACACAGAACAAACTCTCTCATCACCCTGTTCAATTGTTCAAAACAAAACATAATTTTTCATGGAAAAATATTCTTTAGGTGATGTATGCTGATGCTGAGGGGGAACTGCCTGCTCTCCAATCTCTCTCCGGTTGCTCATGCAAAGGAAAGACTGACGATTGCAGAAGTGATACTTATTTCTGTAGTTTGAAGAACACATTACTATCAATAAAAAAAAGTCTTCCTAAAATTGTTTCACAACTTCAGGCTTAGGATTTCCCATTCCTCATTATGTTCCATTAGTGGTTAAACCTACACACTTTGATTCACACCTTACTCCCTTCTAAGAAGTGTGGTCTGTCTCATTATCGAGGTGACAGCTATCATGATAATTAGCATCAGATGTTTTTTTCTGATTTCAAAGAACAAAATTGAACAAAAAGGACTGATTTATTTTTTTAAAAAAAATGAAGAAAACTTTACAATCAAAATTCTATTTTCTTAACAACATGTAGGTAAGAAGACACAATTTCTAATATTTTTATCCAAGTTCTTGAACTGAAAAAAGTTGCTGACTTTTCAATACTTTATGTGGAATTGGGCACTTTGAGGATAATTAACATCAGAGAAGGATATTTCAATACAAATTATAGAAACTGTGACAGATTCAGCTCTTATTGGCAATTCACAGTAGAACGGATGATATTTCCCACTTAATCATATGCCCAGAGTGGTGATACCCAACCTCAACTTAGCAAGCACATGTTCAACTTCATCATTAGGTGTTATGAATAACTTTATTAAATATGGAACACACACCTCATCATAACCAATATGATTCCCAAGTCAGACTGAACCAGGAAGTTTGTTCCACATAAACCCTTGGAGTAGGTTTATTTGCTTTTTCGGGGGTGGAGGAGGTACAGGGAGATGGGTTTCAAATACATTAGTTCAGCTTTCAATTTCATTCTTTTATTTGTTTCATTCAGAATTTAGATGAATGTACTTGGGAAGAATGCCATATTAACTACATCACTAGATGAAGAGATAAAGGCAGGTCAATGGCTGCTGACAGAGGGAGAATCAATTGTATCCAGACACAAGCCCCAGTGATAAGTTATCCAATTCCAGATGGTCAACATTAAATCCATGTATATATGAGCAACATTAAAGGACTCTCAAGGATATATAGATCATGATGCATAATAACAATTACTATTATTATACAGGAGTAAGTCATGAACCCAAGAGGGAGTAGGGAGGAGCTTGAGAGCAATAGTGGAAATGATGTAAATACAATGTACTCATGTATGAAATTCTCAAAAAAAAATTAAAAAAGAAACTCATATGATTTTGCAAGCTATAACTGAACATAATAAATTAAAATCATTCTGAATTTGGTTCTGCTTGTAGATCATGCTTCTAAACTCTAACAAGGAGAAACAAAGAACACTATGTGCTGTGGGATATTCTGTATGCTGTGAATGTGTTGCTCTGATAGGTTGATAAATAAAAAGCAGATTGGTCAGTAGCCAGGCAGGAAGTATAGGCAGGATAAACAGACAAAAAGAATTCTGGGAAGAGAAAGGCTGAGTCAGGAGATGCCAGCCCACCATCCAGGGAGCAGCATGTAATGGCACACGTGGCAACATATAGATTAACAGAAATGGGCTGATTTTAAATATAAGAACTAGTCGATGGCAGGCCTGAGCTAATGGCCAAGCAGTTTTAAATAACATTAAACCTCTGAATGATTATTCTGTAAGTGGGCCATGGGACTGCGGGGACAGGGGGCAGGGGTATTGGGACAGAGAAACCTTCCAGCTGCTACTATGAGGTCCATTAAATTAATTTTTCATCTCATAGGCCACCAAAAGCACTATGACGTATGCTGTAAGTTGATCTTGTTCTACTGATCATCAGATGAGATGCTTAGTCATCCTCCAGTTCATGATAAAGTTCCATTTCATGGGTTGAAATGGCACTTGTCAGGGTTAAGTGGCAACCCCGGCCTTGGTGCCTCAGTGGTCAGGAATGGCAGAGTTCTCCTTGGGCCCCTCTAGATACAGTCCTCAGATGGACTGGAAGATTACATGTTCAAATACTTTTTTCCCCAGAAAATGGCTTCTTTGTTATTTTATTCTTTCTCTCACACAAACACAATCATTTCTTATATGGACAAGATGCCATTGCCTAGTGGATCTACAAAGAAATCCAAAGGATAGTGAATGTTGTTCTAATAGTTAATCATCTATTAATTCATTTCATAAGATACATAAAGGACTAAGCATACGAAGAAGCCCTGTAGGTGCTGAGGAGATGTCAGCAGGGGAAAGATTACTAAGGACAATTGCAAAAACCTAGGTGTAATTTGTGTGGGAGGCCTTACTTCTATGAATGACCCTGGAGATGTCATGGTACAACTACCATATTGCACGATATGTTCAATTATATGTTTGTAATTTTAATTTTCTTTTAAGCCTTCGAGGCAATGAATATAGAGATCTCAGACCTATAAATCAGAAATAGAAATCTGCTTTTCTTCAGGTAAATGAAAGAGAATCAGCAATAGATTTGGAATTATTACATAACATTGAATGCTTTAGTGTTAACATGCAAAGAATTGTGGGTACTCCACACTAGTTACTTCAGAAATAGGGTTATTGAAAATAGCAAAGAGAACCACTAGCCTGTGTAAATGTACATGACATATACTATGGATAGATGAAAAGCTAAACATATATTCAACAAGCATTTGTTTTGATAGATCTACTGAGGAAGAGAGGCATCATGGCACAGGGGCTTGAATAAGAATGGAGGTCTGACAAGGCTGGAACCAAATCCAAGGTCCAACACTCACTAGCTGTATAATATCTGAGTTATGAACAAGCCACCATAGTTAAGCTCTTTTGCCTGTTTTCATATCTGTAAGGTGAAGATGATAAAAGCACACCACGTGTATCTTCATTTCTGAGAATACATACAATGTTAAAGTAGTGAAGAATGCCTAGTATACCCTGAGAATTCTTATAATCTTATACCTTCAGGCTATAGGTTAGAAAACTGGGCAAAAGAAAGGTACATATCATTGGTAACAATGAAGAGTAAAACAAATGTGAAATAAGTTCATTAAGTTATTTTTTTTAGCATAGTATGAGTCCTTTATACTTTATTTCATTTGATTAACACCACATCATCATTTAGCAAATCAAAGACTGGACATCAGAGACGGTAGCCCATATCCAAATCAGAACGAAGTCGTGAAAACAACTACTGACCCACAGCCAGCAATCAAGGTGTGCTGCAGACACTGTGAGAATTCCATGTGTCTGTGAGCTGATTGCCCTTCAACAGCAGCTCTTTTGGGGGGCGGTCCTTTACAATGACAACTTCCCCTCCCCTCAACTAGAATGCCAACTTGACGCCTCTCTTTTTCCACGTTCAAATGATGGTTTATGGTAGAAACACGCCCCCCCCCACCCCCAACGCTCCCATTCCATTCCACTTCTTTGATGATTACTAACCTGAATGTTGCTTGGAAGAATTCAAGTACCACTGCCCCCTGCTTTACTGTTTTCAGTTATAATCTCTACCATAAACCAGAACACTTTTGATCAAATTCTCATATGAACCACAGGTATGAGCTAAATATTACCCAAACTCCTTTATGTAACTTAAAAACATACTTCTTCAACCCCATCTGTTTTCCTCTTGTTCTGTAGCCTCACCTGAGACACTTTGATGTTGTAGAATATGCCCAATGCATCATTTCTGATTCTGCTCATACAGTTCTCTACATATTCGCTTCTCTTTTGCCCATTTAAATTCAGTTTATCCTCCAGAAATAACTCTGGATAAATTTTTCCCAGGAATCCTTCACTGCCCACTTCAATACCTTTCTTGGTTTTGAACTATCATTCTTAGATTGATATTTGTTGTACTACATAAGAACATTTTCCACAGCATGCTGCAATTGTTTGTTTACTGTCTGACTGCCCAGATGATCTACACAAACTGCAAGGAAGTGAGGAACTTGTCATACTATTTTACTACTGTCTAACCAGCATAGCTGCGCATAACCTGGTCTGTGATCCATCACTCAATGTGGAGCACGGCTCTCTGTTAATAATGATAATGCAGTTATTAACTTGTATCTCTTAGGTTTACCCAAGATATCCTCTTAAGATAGTAATATAGGGTGCTGTGGGATAATGTTTTTGTACACTGGTTTAACAAAATGCTCATTGGCCAGTAGCCAGGCAGGAAGTATAGGTGGGATAAGCAGACAAGGAGAATTCTGGGAAGAGGAAGGCTGAGTGAGGAGACGCCAGCCTGCCATCTGGGGAGTACCATGTAATGGCACATAGGTAAAGCCACAGAAAATGTGGCGACATATAGATTAACAAAAATGGACTGAGATTAAGCGTAAGGGCTAGTCAGTAGTAAGCCTGAGCTAATGGCTATGCAGTTTTAATTAATATAAGCCCCACTTGGGGGATGCAAGTGGGAGAGATTTGTCCTGATCGCTGGACGGCTGGGACACAGGAAAACTTTCAGCTACAATAGGGCATGACTCATTATTTCAATAAATACTTTTCAAATACATGACTTAAATTCAACTTCATCAAAAAAATTGAATTACTGCATCTGAGACAACTTTTTACTTTCTTTGCTAACATATGACATGATTCAT